TATAATGATATATTTGTAAAAATTCTTTTTACGGTCAAATAAGCAAAAAGTTGTGTATGGTTTGTGATGATAGATATGGGCAATGGTTCGCTTTCATAGGGCCCAAATTGTTGTACAAAGTTTGAATTGTTATGAATATAAGATGAATGAATGTTATTTACTTAGACATAATGTACTGACTTGTAACTACAATGTTAAATATTAAAAATAATACCATATGACCAACTCCCTTCCATTGTGCAACAAACAAACGCCAAGTTGCAGACAAGACTTAATTTTGTCTATACATGTAAAAAAATGAAATAAATGTTTTATTTTCACTAATCTTGATTCTGCTAAAAAGAGGAGTGTAATAAAATTGGACATTTTCTTATCATAATTTGGCTTTTGACGAGCATAATAACATTGATTATTCAAAGCATAATTCAATCTGAAATAAAAGAGAGAATTTTCCAAGCAAAATGTTAATATCATATTTATACATTGTGTACGTCGCTCCGAGGCTCTGTACAAAGGCTGAGCATTTTGTTTTCTAAGTTTAAAAGTCTCATCCTTTATAGAATCGCATTGGAATCTTAAGATAATTCAACCATGCCTCCTTAAGAACTTTGATTATTCGGCTTCCAGTCTTATACAGCGATAGAATAATCCTCTCTAAAATGGCTTCCGTTTGATATATACATGCAATATAATAAATTTGCTCATATGTGCTTGCTCCCTTCTCTCATAACCTTTGATTGTATACACATTTTCGAAATAGGTAACACATAATCGAATTAGGTAACATCCTAAGCATGTATATAGAATCAATTAGCAGCTTCGAATGTGTTGATAGATCTACGCCAAATTATTTATTTCATTTTTGAAATCCTATTTTTTCGAAAAATACGCCGAGGGACACAGGCATTGAAACTAATATATGTTGCCTGTATTTGTGTAATTCCCCAATTGTGTATCTGTTTTATAATAATTAAAAATGTCGGTTTTCTAATGTGTATTAAAATAATGTTTTCTTTTGCAGAATCTTCTTAATCCCTTTTCCGGAAGATAAAAAACGTCTCTAAATGGGCATGGAGGTTTGGAATTTGGCTGTTTATTATTACACCAGTAACAAGTGTTAAAATCAGATTTAGCTGTCATTCTCAGAGGGGTGCATTTAACAAGAGTAGAACTGATTAACTTTGTGTTGCATTTAAATGGTTACGGTAAGTTCAAGCCATGTTGATTCTGCATCCAAGGAGAGATCTGTACAGTCGAATCATTTTATAGCTCGAAGTATCAAACAGCGACAACTCGCCCGCAGTGATTGTGTCATACTATAAGGACACATTAAACAAATTAGGAATTGCCCCAAGGCTCCTTCGTGACGTTAGAGGAACTGAAAATTCTACGCTAGCATTGCTTCAACAATTTTTTTCAGATAAAACGGCACAGACAGTGTATCAGGGTTGAAAAGTTCTATGTATAGAAAGAGTACGGTGGCACAAAGGTGACATGTGTGTGTTTTTATTTAGTTGTGCACAATACCGGCACGTTCCGCTTTGCTGCTTTTGATGAAATAAAACCGATCAAAACAATCGACAAGAAGTTAATTTGTTTTGGTGCTTTTCTAACAAATCAATAAACATCAACTGAGAAAAAGGTTCAGTACATACATGTGATATCAACCAAACAAATTAGCCATACATACATGCAAATACAATAAACACGCTTGTCTGAGGTACTTTATCTGTAATTATATTCTTTACCAGTATAGTGTCTTACAATCTTACGTATAAATATGGTCATGTTTATGTCTTTCAGAATGTGATGTTGATGGGTTTGTAATTACAAAACATATTAAAGAAAATGAAAAAAAATATAAAAAGACTGCTCCGCTTTTTTAATCAACTAAAGGTTACAGGTACTTTCTGAATGATTATTTATAAATTTTGTCATAATTACATGGGTTTTTTAAGTATATATCCGCAAATCAAAATACAACATGAGTTAATTAAAAAAAATTCGACTTGACCCAAGTATTCACTGTTTGCACCTTAATTGGCATAGTGTCACTTAAAATAGTTAGTTGTGTTCAGCAGATTTAATTCAGCAATTTATAAAATACTTTGAATGATAATATTGTCTTCTACCTTTTGTAATGTTATGCATAAAATAATGCATATCCAAGAAGGCGGTGGCTAATGGGCTTATTGTGTAAATTGTCATCTTTTGAAATTTTATACATGTATATCTCCTTCTCTTGAGCCCCTTTGCTACCTAAACTGAGTTTCCGTTATGTAAACTGTTTACTGAAGAAGGCAGCTGCATCAGCCAAAATTGCATCTCCTGAGAAATTGTCGCCAAAAGAGCGGCTTGTCATCACTGAACGGTTGAAGACGAAACCCAATTAATACTTCAAACCGGGAAATGCCTAAACGATGAAGCATAAGGACAAGTTAGAAGTCCTAAAAAAATTCCTAAATAATCAAAAATTATTTTAAAATGTCATACTCATTATAGTCAGAACTGCACAAGTAACTCTAGGACATCAGTTGGTTCTTCAATTGTTGTTGTAAACTATGTTAATCAAAGTAAGATGATATTGAATTAGTCTTGCAAGCAATAGCTGTTTTGGTTACCTTACACCGACCCCAAAACAGTTTGTTCCATATAATCATCTTCCTAGAAATTTTACAGTCACAATTGATGATTTTGAAAAATATTGTTAAAGAACTTTCATCACCTTTTATTTTGTAGACTTTAATGCCCATTACCCAAAGTGTTGCAGCCAATCTACTAATAACAAGGGTAATGTAACTAAGAAGTAAATATATGTCAACTGTGTCTATTAATTAAAAATTCACCCACATACTTACCACCTGCTACAGGCACTTTTTCTTGCATCAATCTTTCACTAGTCCACCTCACTCTATACTTCGACTTCGATAAGGCAGTTTTAGGTGAATAAAACAGCAGTAACCATATTCCATTGATACTTACTTGAAATGAAAGATTCTGAAACATTTTCAAGGCTCTTTTCTTAAGATCTGAAAAAGACCGAATTTGATTTTAGTTCTGCCTAAAAAAGCTGATGCATTTCCTTCTACACTATACATGATTGCTTGCAAGTACATTCCATATTACATATTTTATTCAACCTAAACACAAGCCACAGCAGTCAAATATCTCCAATATAAATTCAAATACACATATAATTAAAGTATGAGATACATACAGGATGTTTCTAGTAAACATAAAAGGTGAATGTAAAAAAGACTAACCACTGTTTATCTTAAAATTAAGAATGGCATAGATCTTCAAAAACAAAGAGATATTTCTGAAACATTAGAAAAACAAATTGCCAAAAACCCTTCTTATGTTAATTTTTCAAACATTCTTTTGCAGCATAAATCTAAAAAACTTCACCTCAGTCAAAAATGGGCAACAGAAAATGGATGTAAATTTAAAAATGAAGAATTCATTGTGTTCATTTCTGTAGATTACGGAAATATTATAATGGCCATGAACTTTCCTTTTCTGGTTATAAAATCCCTGTTGGTATTGAAAAAAAAACTTTCATGGAGTTATATTTGATATCTGATGTTATTTATGCTAAAAGCTAAAATCTTATATATTACAGCTTTGAGTTTATTGAAGGTTTTATTTAGTTCAGACTCGAGATACAATTCCTCTTCTTTATTAACATTAAACAGAAGTCATTGAATAAGTATTCAATCATAGTGAGATTATGATAATTAACCCATTAGGCCTTTATGTAAAAATAAATCTTAAAAAAAAACACACTTAAAATATACCCAAACATATATCCTTCAAAATGGCGGAATTTCAAATTTCCAGAAGTAAATGTTAGTCTTTCAAATTTAAAAAAAAAGTTATCCAATAATCCTGAAATATTTCAGGAAACATTTTTTCTTCAAACTTCAAAGAAGTACATGAAGATTTTATCTGTCTAAAATGAGACTACTTTATAATGCATTAATTTTACTGCAGAAGCAAAAGCTAATAATTTCGCCTTGACATACATTTTTCTCAGCATACTGATAACAAAAAGTAGTATGTAGATTATTTATTCCCAAAGCAACTCTTGTTGGTGCTAAAAACGAAGTAAAATTATGTTTTATCCAAAGCCACACAGAAATACGGCAAAATGAAAAAGTATATGCATTGGCTAAATAATATTTTAAATACTCAACCATTAGATATACTGTTATCAAATAGTGTTTTTTAACTTTCCATAAGTAAACTTATATGATCTAAATAGAAATGAAATTGGGACAAAATAATATCTAACAAACTTCATGAAATAAACCCCTTCCTTAACGTGTCGCCATCTCTATATCTTGAGAAAATATTATGTAGTTCTTCTTAGATGTTGAAAAGGACACACAAGAGTTACACAGGCGATGGTTCTCCTTTTCGTTTAGGTTGCAATGAATATTTAAATGTCAAACATTTCCTACTTGTATGTCATTTTCCAGCACAGGTCGTCATAGATATTACACAGTAAATTCACTGTCAGAAACTTTTTAATCAGTTATTTTTCCAAAACAAATTTACGACAATTTAAAAGAAATTCTAAGAGTAAACTTGTTTATTTTTTTAAGCTTGCACTAACCGCTATTAGGTTATATTATCTTTTGTTAACAATTATAATGTTCGGGGCGGTAAAACCATTTTTGAGTTAATGGGCTGTTAAACCTAAATAAACAAACAAAGTACCCATATATCATTTTATTTTTTAACAGACACTTCAACATGAAAATAGCCGATCACAAAGCTGAATTACACTAAAAAGTTCATATCATAATAACCTTGATGTGCCTAGCTTTAATCAGATAATAACAAATAAGCTGGTTCACATGGAATACCATCGAATCTTCTTCTCCCTGATTGCTAACACTCGATATTCTTTAGTTCAGTGTTATCTGTCCACATATAGCCACTATTTATTTTGAACAAAGGGCATGAACTGTTTACGAACAATTTTACTTTTTCAGGCATCGTATATAGCTGTTTTACGTATTGATGAGAATTCAACAGGATGGGCATTATCATATGGAGATGCAAGTAACAAAGATGTAATTGAAAAATCTGCTCCAATGCCACTTCAACTGTTTTATGAGCCTGGCGATGACAAGAAAACGTATATAGGGCACACGGCTGTGCTAAAATATGATAGCACTCAAACAGAACAATATTTCTTTATGAATATTGTTCCTTTGCTGACGAAAACCTTAAAAAAGAATGTGGTATGTACTTTCTTGAACTTGTTTGGCATGTGTAGGATAACAAAACGTATCTAATTAAATGGTCTAACAGAGTCTTGAAAAATCCCTTTCTCCAAATGGTAACCACTCACTCACTCACTCACTCACTCACTCACTCACTCACTCACTCACTCACTCACTCACTCACTCACTCACTCACTCACTCACTCACTCACTCACTCACTCACTCACTCACTCACTCACTCACTCACTCACTCACTCACTCACTCACACACTCACTCACTCACTCACCAACTCACATATTTTGCTAATTATTACATATTTTAACCACAGTTTCGAAATACTTTCGGTATGTATGATTCATAAGATCGATTTTGGTGTGTGACAAATCAATATTTAAATGATATTCAATTATTAATAACGATTATTTCAGGACGAGAACGAAGTACTTATCGAGGATGTTACAGGAAAAAGCCTTCCAGCTGTAAATGTCTTTACAATGATTATTCAATCATTGATTGATGAAATGAAACGTCAACTTTCACCTCGGTATACATTTGATGTCAAAAAAGATCTTTACTATGTCATAGTTGTTCCAGCATTTTTGCAAGAAAGCCGGGAAGTGAATCTCATAACAAAGGCCGCGATAAAGGTATTGTTGTCTTCATTTTTTCTGCTTATCATTAAGCTCAAGGTGTTGAGTCTAAAGAGAAAATGTTTAAAAGTGTTTTTTCTACCTGTCGTTAAACTGATTTTTTTATACAAGGGCTTTATCATATTTACTCTTCCCCTCGTTACATAATGTTGTTGAGAGGTAAATGACATCGGCAAAAGATAGTCGATGCCTTGAGTGAAACCGAGAGCAACGTATCTAAGCAGTAGTATTGTCACGAGTTACTTTACGTTGTAGGTACCAATGGTAGCCGTGCAGGGAGCTTTCGTTTTGTCTTTGGCTTATAGTCTGTGAAAACACCATGTAGTTTAATTATCAACACGTTGTGCTTCAAAATTAAACATCACTGGTGAAATGTCTGGGGTCTGTATTCTATAGCCAAAAGAAATAACCTTTCTGTCCCTTAAACGGCGGATGGATACTAATTATGACTTGTAAGAATGCATTAAAGACATAAAGCTAGTTGATACGTAAATATGCCTTGCAAGATGTAATATGTTATATTTTATTTATTCTAGTACGCAGGATTGGTGAGTGCCTTTCATTGAAATATTACTAGTATTCAAAATATCAATTCTTATTACATGTATCTTTCGAAGCACGAGTTCGCAACATTGTACGACATGGAAGGAAGACGGTCAGAAGTAAAACATTTTACATAAATCTCGATGCATCTTATAAGTTTGCAAGTAAATTGTAAATTTTGTTCTTATCATGTGAAATACAATGCCATGTTCTTAAATTTCAGGCGGAAATTGAAGATAAAATGGTATCTGTTGTCACGGACATAGTTGTAGTCTCATTTTTTTGTCAGTTTGCTTCCTCTCATGGTTTTTCAGATGAAGATAAATACCTTTTTGTTAGACTAGGTGGTAGGTATTCTTTTATTCTTTATGAAGACATAGTTTTAATTTGCATTTTTAAATAAGTTACAAGTAGAAAAATATGCTACCACAATGTCCATCAAACAAGTAATATATTTTTGTGATCACTCATACTTATTAATCAATCAAATGAAGAAACAGTACATTCCCTCATTCTTAATGAATGACAACTCAAAGAAGTTATGTTAAGGAGAAACCCCGAATACTGTGAGTAAACAGATCAAGGTGCTTTGCGACAAGATCTGTTTATTCTCTCACATATTGGACATTTCAAGAAGTTTATCATACTTAAATAAGTTCCCTTTAAGTTCCCCTATTGTCCTAAAAATGCAGAAATTGTATAGAACATTATAGTAATAAGAGCGACAAGTGATCACCTGTATTATCATATGATAGCAGCCAAGTGCATGTTGCAGCTACTGTGTAGCAGAAGACACAAACACCGTTAACAGGGCAAAACGCGATTTATATCCAAGGGCTTAAGACATCCTGTTATTTGTGTAGGGGCCAATTTTAACAATACGGGCAAACTTTAAACAAGTATAATAGAGGACCTATAGATGATATTATATACCGAAGCTATAAGCACTCAGCATTGTACCTTCAGACAAGAAGTTATTACTATCATACATATAAAAACCCTAAACGTGGCAGGGCAAATTATGACCCCAGGACTATAATTTCATCTATCTTGATAGAGTTCCACTAGAAAATGCTTCAAGCCAAATATCTTACGTCTAGCCTTTCTCAATTCAGAGAAGATTTTTTAAAATTTTTACTACATACACAAAACGAAAACCTATGACCCCCGGGAGAGGGCCAATTTGATCCCAAAGCTATTATTTGTACAATCTTGGTAGAGGTCCACTACAAAATGTTTCATGCCAAATATCTTACCTCCAGCCTTTGTCAATTCAAGGAAAGATTTTTTTAAAGGTTTTGCTATATACATATAAGGGAAACCTATGATCCGGTGGCGGCACAAATTTTGACCCAAGGGCTATAATTTGAACAATCCTGGTACAGTTTCACTTCATAATGCTTCATGCTAAATATCTAACCTCTAGCCTTTGTCAATTCAGAGGAAATTTTTTACTATATATACATATAAGAAAAACCTATGATATAATTTTGAAAAGAATTGACTATATTTAACAATTTATTCATAACTGTTGTTTGATATTAAAGACATATTTTTTTGCTATATGTAAAATAACAAACAGCTGGGAAACGAAATACCAAAATATACCTAAATACAAGAACAGTTCGTTCTTGAAATCATTTGAACATTATGCAATTCCAACCAATATTTAAATGGCCATATTCTAGGCGCAACGGAGATATTTTTTATGAACCTCTGTCTTTGTCTTGAATTTAATTTAAATATACCATTCATTTCATTTGTACTTAATTGTTATCCAATTTAATTTGCTTCGACCAGGTCGCAACAATCAAACATTTCATAATTTCAAATATGGCATAACTTTGTTAATTTATGCATTCGGTTCTACTTTTCCACAAAAATATGCAACTTAACTAAACAACAAGTGCGAAAGTAGAGAACAATTGTCAAGGCTGATTTTGTTACATAACTGTTCAAATCAGTTGGCGGCGTCTTTAATGTGCAGCATCAACATTTAACTTATTATAGTACTCATATTTGTAAAATTCTCACTTCAACCGTGACTTGTTGTCGGTCCACTATATCCAATACATTGGCCGATATTGACCCGTTTGTAACCTCTGGTGTGTTAAGTTTACGTGTACGAACTTTGCATTAACCTTTTTGGCAACTTTTATCCAATGGCGAATTCGCTTTTTGTTTATTTTTCTTGCTATTTTCTGTTTATCTTTTATCCGACATGAATACTGCAATCAAACTTAAAACATATCACAAAATATCTAATATAGTATCCTTTCAACAACTTATAAATCCATTTACATACATTTTACTCAGAAGGTAAATTTTTGCGTGCATGCCTTACTTGACCGCGTGATTATTGCCCCGGAGCTATTTGTGTTTACTTTTTTGTCCATGGACCCGGATTTTATCAATTAATCCCTTCGATTTACAGCTAAAAATAAATTCGGATTCAACAAATCCTTTCGATTATTATATTGGTTCCCCTTTCGGTGATGCGTAGCATGTCATATTAATGAATGAGAACCGAAAAGCAGTTCTGCTGTACATGAATTCGAAAGCTATAAATAGCTATAAATATTCTGATTTTTGACACTAAGGTTATAAATTTGTTATTTCCTCTTTTAAGTAGTACATGAAATTATAATTTATTACATTTTTAATTATATTTACACAAAGCATATCAAGTATACTATTAGTGATTGAATTTGTCAATATAAAGAAGATTTCAGGCATAAGACTTTAATAATTTTGCTTTTGATAATTATTCTTTATTGATATTTATGAAACTAAATGTTTAATAATAACATGTTGATACTGTGGTTGTTTTGAAATAATTATAACTTTAGTATATAAAGTTACATTTCATTGATATGATTGGTAATTTATTCAAATAGGTCACCATTTTAGAACTATAACATACTTTAAGGGCATGAATGGTGACATGTCCGGGGTCCGTACTCGACAGCGAAAGCTGCTTTTTGTGCCCAGAAGGGCGGATGGACCCTCATTAAGCATTAACATACATACATATGATTGGTAATGCACGAAGGTAAATTATCAACATTATGTGCTTCAAAATTAACTCTTTAAGGGCATGACTTGTGACATGTCCCGGGTCCGTACTGCATTTTGTGGACCCTCATTAGGCATACACTATAAATTGATAGATCGCATCATTTGTAACAGAAACTTTGATCTGCAGTTTGAACATGGGCACTTTTTTTTAATTTAACATGAAAAAAATGCATATAATATTATTATATTATAATATTAGTCCCTTTTGTTACTATTTGTATATTTGTTATAATTATAATAATTAAAAAACAGACTTTGATATTTTTATCATCTTATGTTACGGACTACAGTAGTGACACAAACTCAGTACAGTCATGTCACATAACATTTACAAGTCTTGTAAGTCTTGTTTGTATTCGCCCCTCTTTTTAATTATGGACAGTACATAAGTATAATTATGCAAAAAATGGTTTACAAAACATTCGGAAAAAATCTACAATAGTACTTAATCTGAATATAACATGACCTGTGCGTAGGAATAATTTGGTAAGGTATCTGTAATGAGCGCATTTTTTTGCTCGGAGCTTCTCAATTGCTGCATTGCAGCAACATTTGTACTTGTATACTCAGATTTCAATGTGTCAGTTCTTTTACTACATAGCCCGTTAATGTTCATGTAAGCACTAAGATTTAATCTCGCGCACGCGATTTTGTGCATCTGTGTGATCTTCGTTTCTATAAATAGTAATAGGAGAATTCCCATTTCTGACAGCTGTCAAATCGCGTCTATATGGGCTGGCGGAATGTTTTCGTCGCAAAGTACGATCTTTTGTACGAGATACATGTGAGCCACTTGGCATGTCTGACTATCTGAATGCATATTGTCTGATAGCAATTTCCGAAAGTTATACTGATTTTGAGAATGAGTATCATTTTTCAACAGGACTGATATTTTTACAATCATTTTGCACTAGGAATTAAGAAGTCTTTCATAGCAAAGAAAATGGTTACCAAACTCCGAGTTCTCAACATGTTTTGTCTGCTCACAAATGTATGGTGACCAATATTCGCTTTGTGTCTCCCTTTTGCGAAAACTGCTTGCATTTAACACATGTTCGGCATATCTGATAATCCGGTACTGTTACTGTTCTTGATAGATATTATATGGTGAGTATATTTGTAAATTTGCTGCATTCCGAGTTTACCGTTTGTGAAGTCTGGCCTGCTTTTATCAGTGAGCTAAAATTGCTGTCCGTTCATGAATGGGGCGTACTCAGATGGGAACGGGTAACTCATTAACTACATTACTGTGTAGCCATATTGTACGTGCGACAATTATAGATAAATGTACTACAGAAGGGCAAGTTTGATCCTGCATTTGATGACTATATGTAGTTTAGCCAATTTCACATGTATTTGTCATTCTTTTGTAATTTACGTACAAATTCCAACTGTGAAATTCATCATGAATCAGCCAACTGTCTACCAACAATTTTGCTCGAAACGCTTCAAACACTTTTGATCTTAGATGTTCTCCACGGTGTTTTTTTCAGCGTTTTAAATTTCTTTTAGATAGTCGTAATCAACAGAGAATCCAGGATATTTATTCAATCAGTTTACACTACTCATTACATATTTTATAAGCTAGTATGACACTTAGTCACCTTGACTTCTCGACCGACCCCTTTTGGTATTAAAATGACTTCTAGACCCCTTGACACTTAGGCCCCTTTTTATATGACTTTTCGACCTCTAGTGGCTAAAATATTTTGACCACTATATTTTGTACTTTAGAAGCATAGATATTCGAGCAAAAGGTTTAATAACTAATATTTCCAATTATTGAATGCTTTCCAGTGCTATATCAAATGATTATATTCTGATAAACCACTATTGAAATTTAGAAAATTTAATTCTTACTTTAGCCGAACTATATCTGAATACGGATGAAAGGAATATCATTAATAAATGGAATAACAGGAAAAAAATACATGCCGTCATACTAACATTTTGCTTCTTTCGGAAAAGAAAGTCAATCATACATCATGTTAAAACTTTAAAAAAATTAGAGAAGTATATCAGAACAATATTTTCAAAAGATGCTTTGACGTCATAAAGGAGAATGCGCGCAACATTACGCTGCAAAATCAATAAAAAATATATTCAAATTCACTTTAAAAGCATGAATTAAAAAGAAAATTTATTTGTGTTACATAATTATAAAATTGAAATATAAATAATCCGTGATCACCAGCTATTCTATTTTAACTCGTGGCTACGCCATTCGTGAAAATATTGTATAATTATGGTGTTCACTCTGTGAAATATA